ATATATTTTAATTATAAAATAATAATATTTTAAATAGTTTTTTATATACTTAAAAAATATTTAATAAAATATATTTTAAATATATTTTAAATATCGTAGTTTTTATATGGATGGAAAAGATTTGTTCAATCAACATCTCTTTGACATTGGTTAAATTCTGAAATTCATTTGACACTTTACCTAAATTTATATATTTAAGTATATAACTATGATTGCATAAATGTTTACATAATTGTATAGATTAAAAACCTTATCAAGATTCATGTTATTTTTTACTAAAAACTTCTTAAGACTACCTTTATCAACAAGGCAACAACGATATTCCTTCTTGTAAAGTTCAATTGATGGAAATCATTCATTACACATTGTACAGTATTTATTTTCAATCTTGTCAATTGAAGTATGGAAATTGTATAAAAATTCCCAATTAGATATTAAAAGATTTCTGGATATTTCTAGGTCATATCCTTTATTAGTTTTATTAATTTTATTTTGTTTATATTTTTCATATCTACAAGCAAGATGTGCCTCGTGTTCTTTGTCAGTTTCTAAATCAAACCTTTGATATTTTCAATTTCATTCTATAACAAGACGTATCTTTTCTGATCTTCTTATATTACTTTCAACTTCTCTATTTTGAGCACTCTATATATATTTCAATATTATCAATATTAAAAATTGATGGAAGCAATTACATTAACTAAAATAATTTCTCACCATGATTTCTTGATTAAGTAGATTGAATGATCAAAGACAATGAAAATATTACTAATTCTCTACTTACAAGAGAATCATGTCCTTTGACAAACAAAAAAATACTGAAACACATGATTATGTATAACATAATGAAAAAAAGAATTTTTATAAATACACAATTAATACTTTTATTATTTCTAATTTGAATAATTTTGAATTATATAATTTGGTTAGGACAATTAATTATTAATTTTTTTTTATTTAATTCAGATTTTAAAAGTTATACACTTTAATTGTGAACAAAAAGAAATATGTACAATTACTTCTAAGCCTTTATATGTTCCTTATTTGGGATTTGTAATAATATATCACTAATTCATTTGACTTCAGAAAAATATAATCTGACAAATTATTAATTTATTTGATTTTGGCAAAATATAATCAATAATAAGTTTTGAAATTAATATTTTATATAAATAGTTTAAATTTATTTATAGTATAATATAGCTATAATACATTGATTTATTATATAATAAATACAAGATAAAATTTAATCAAATTTAAAAATTTTTTTTAATAAAAATAATTTATTATAATTTTATAGTATGTTAAATTCAAATAAAATCTAAATTTCAAAAAGAATAATAAAATAAAATATTTATAACAAGTTGTCCAAATAGGTAATATAAATAATTAATTAATAAAATTTGCTCCGGACGCACAACGGCTCCCGTTTTCCTAGTGTATTACATTTATATGGTTTCGTTGTTACACAACGGGTCTCTAACTAGTAATCTAATGAATAATGGCATTACGGCAAGAATTACGGATTGCGGCCAGAGTTACATTTTTGCATTCATGCCGTCTAAAATTCGTGTAACAATGATCCGTTTTCAAGTTGGTAGCCGCGAATTAGACAACTTTAATTTTATTTATAGATATACTATCCTTAAAAGGTTTGATTCAAAGTCTTATAAATCAGTAATCTAAAATTAACGAAATTTTTAGTCATAATTCAAAAAAATATTCTCAAAGGCGTCCAAAAATGTTTTAGATGTTAGATTTATTTATGTCAAAACTTAATATTAAAAGAGTAACTCTATTGATTCTTTGTATAAGGAATTGATTAAGTAAAAGATATTATTTTAATTAAGTTATCCATAAGAAAATTTATATAAGGTTAAATCAAACCTTTGGCGACTCTGATTCATTCTTTTTATCTAGTTCTTGAAATGGGAACATAACACTTATCGTGTAACAATACAATTACCAATTTACTTTGGATCACAAGTTTGTATTTGTTGCTTATTTTATAGGCTGTGAATGGCTTAGTTCCCGAGTTAAGAGGTAATCGACCAGATACTGAGTTTTTGAATACAAAAAGTTTTTTTGTGAAAGATCTCAATTTCGGAAAAAACCTTGTCAGATCAAAAAAAAATATAGATATATATATTTGAAAAAAACACCAGTCTTTCTATTTACAAATTACTGACTTTAAGTAAAATATTTGAATTAAAAAACATTTTTTACACGTCTTTTACTTATTAAAACCTTTATAATGGCGGCAGCGACACGTGTATCCGATTTTGCTATTAGGCCAGGCTTCGGCGAAGCTGGAAAAGCTGTCCGCGTTCGCACAAATTTTTTTGAAGCGACAGCCCTCCCTGATGCTAATATCTTACATTTTGATGTAACCATAACACCCGATGTACCTCCCGCTTTAAATAGAAAAGTTTTTGCCACATTCGAAGAAAAATTTAGAGCAACTGCTTTGGGCGGAATACGAACGGTTTTCGATGGTTGGTTAATAATTTTAAAAAAAATAATTTTAGCAGAAGCACTTAATTTTAGCAATAGACGTGTTCGCAATATTATTTCTATGATTGATAATATTTTAACTGGAAAGGAAACGTATATCATTTTTCACGCACTTATCGTAAACTTTTTTTCTTCCTTGAAAGGGCGAAAAAATATGTTTGCCCCACGAACACTACCCTTTGGTGATGCGTATACATTTAATGTAGTAAATTTTGATTGTGATTTAATTTTTATGTTTATGTTGAACATTTTACCAATTATTATTATTTTTTTTTAAATTTAGATAGATCTTCCGGAGGATGATGATTCAACGGGAAGACGTCCCCCACGTAGTTTTAAACTAAAAATTGTCAAGGTCAATGAAATCGTAATGGAAGAACTCCACCAATTTCTTGATGGAACCATAAATATAACACCAAATTGCCTAACAGGTAATCGTTAGGTTTTATTAAGAATTTTAATAAGGCAAACATATACATGCTAAAATATTTGATAATTAATAGGAATAATGGCATTAGATGTGCTTATACGTCATCGTCCGTCAATGATGAACACAACTGTTGGGCGTTCATTTTACACGAACCGAGGCTCACGACCCCTTTTCGGGGGTGCTGAAGTTTGGCAAGGATATTATCAATCTGCTCGTCCAACATTAGGTTCGCGTATAAGTTTTTACCATTCTAAATTTATAGAATAATTCTTTTTTCTTTCGCTCTAAATTTCCTATTACATTTTTACATAAATTTAGGCCGCATTATAATTAATATTGACGTTAGCGCAACCGCATTCTTTGAAGCAGGGTCGCTGCTTGAAATGGTTACGAAAATACTAGGGCGTAGAACGCCTGAAGATTTTCGTCGAGGAATAACCGAAAGGGATTCCCAAAAAATCGAAAGATCTTTAAAAGGTGTGAAGATTCGAGTCATGCATCGAGGAGATGCGGCTTCAAGGCGTAGATATCGAATAATCGGGTTGACGCGTACGCCTGCGAATCAGACTAGATTCTCCGTAAACGATCAACCAACTGATGTCGCAGCTTATTTTAATTCAGCCTATCAACGTCGCCTTAACTTTGCGCATCTTCCGTGTGTGATTGTAGGCACCAGAAATACATTCCTCCCTTTGGAAGTTTGCCAAGTAATCGAGGTGAATAGACTATAAACTATATTTATTATTAATATTTTATAAAAAATATTATGATTTATTAATTTGATCTTTATAGGGACAAAGACATATTCGAAAATTGAACGACAAACAAACCGCTGAGATGATTAGATTTACATGTCAGCCTCCTCACATACGAGCTAATAAAATCAGAGAAGGGTTTGATACTCTTAATTATAGACAGAATGAGTATCTTCAGCAATTCGGTTTGAGAATTTCTAATGAAATGGAGACGGTATTTATATTTATATCTTTTATATTCATATATTTTTCCTATATATAATTTTATATCCAATTTGTTATAGATACAAGCTAGAGTGCTCCCTACTCCATTTCTGGAATATCATCAAAATTCAAGGGAACCTAGCTTTCAACCAAAAGACGGCGCGTGGAATTTAAGAGACCGAAAAGTAGCAACTGGGGCTACTCTTGGCTCATGGTCAGTGGTTGTCTTTTGTTCCGAGAATGATTGCCCGGCTAGGACAGTTCAAGGGTTTATACGAGAACTTATAAATACGTGTCAGGACACCGGAATGGTAAGTATACTTATTCGTATCATATTTTTTGAAACGTTTGTTTATTATATGAGAATAACTAATTAAAAAATTAATAACAGAACATTCCTAATCGGAACCCGCCCACAATTTACGCCGGCCTCCAAGGAGATACCGAAACAGATCTCAAACAAGCATGGTTACGAGCCGGAAATATGGCCAAATCGCAGCCGCAACTTATTGTATGTGTTTTACCTAATACTGGCGTAGCATTATACGCTGAAATAAAACGCGTAAGTGACACTGTTATTGGTGTTGCGACGCAGTGCGTTCAAAGTAAACACGTTTTGTCGACAAAAAAACAATATTGTGCGAATGTGTGCCTTAAAATGAATGTGAAGTTAGGTGGCATGAACTCCTACCTCGGGCCAAATTATCTACCATTCATTTCGGACAGACCAACAATATTAATTGGTGCAGATGTGACTCACCCTCCGCCAGGTAGAATTTATTGAAATTTTTTTTTTTTTTTTTTTAGAAATCGAATTTTGGGAAGCTTAGTTTTATTTTTTTTAGGTGACACTTCTCGTCCCTCGATCACAGCATTATGCGGATCCATGGACGCCAAGGCTTCTAGATATTCGGCTTCAATCAGAGTCCAAGGGACTCGAACCGAAATTATAGTCGACTTGGCCAACATGGTTAAGGAATTATTAAAAACCTTTTACCAAACATGTGGGCGTAAGCCCGAAAGAATTATATTTTATAGAGATGGGGTGAGCGAAGGACAATTTCGTCAAGTTCTTAAAGAAGAAATTGGTGCGGTGAGAGGTAATCTTTTCTTTAAAAAAATATTATATCAGAGATTGTATTGTTTCAAATCATACTTATTTTTAAATTTCTATGAAAAACCATATTAGCTGCATGTTTAGCTCTAGATGCAACCTATCGACCCACAATTACTTTCGTTGTAGTCCAAAAACGGCACCACACTCGATTTTTCCCAATCGATCGCCGAGATGCGGATAGAACAGGAAATTGTCTTCCTGGTACGGTGGTTGATTCAAATATTACACATCCAACAGAATTTGATTTTTGTAGGTTTTTTTTTTGATATATTTGAAATATTAGATTTTAAATAAATAATAATCAAAGTTTATTGTAGATTTACAAAGTCATGCTGGACTTCAAGGGACATCACGCCCTACACATTATCACGTATTACATGACGAAAATAATTTTAATGCGGATACGTAAGTTTATTCGATCTTTTTTAGCGATTGTAAATACAGTATATGTGTACATGATTACTAACTTAATTCTGTAGTCTCCAAACGTTAAGCTATAACTTGTGTTATTTATACGCAAGATGCACGCGTTCTGTATCTTTGGTATGATTTATAAAATGTGTTTTTTTTAATTAAATAATAGTTTTGATAAGTTTATTTTACAAAAACTAGGTCCCACCCGTTTATTATGCACATTTAGTGTGTAATCGCGCGCGCTTTCATACCCGTGAACACTGGAGTGACACAGAATCTTCCGAACAAGGGACCGGAATTTTTGGTGTGGTGAAAGCAGAGTTACAGCGAGTAAGCATAATTTTTTGAGACCTGTAATAATAGTAATTTACAAAATTTAGCTAAAAACTTATTTTTTAATATTATAGGTAATGTATTTTATGTGAACAAAAAATGTTTTATCATGATTATTTTGAAAGAAATCCTGGTGCTTCATCTTTTCATAGTATTTTCGTGAATGTATATAAACAAACTTGTATCTATCTAAATATCTGATCGGCATTAACTATTGAATTTAAAATAATGAATTTATCAAGAATTTAAATACTGCATAAAATATAAAATATCCAAATCTTTAAAATCTTTAAAAATCTTTAATGTACCTAATTTTTGTCTATTTTAAGCAAAATATATCAATTATTAGCGAATGAACTATATATTTTCTTTTTTTTTTCTTCATTTGTAATTATTATTATTATTATTTATAAAAAAAGTTAAAATTATAGCTGATACCTTTTTTAAACATTTATAAAATAAAGTAATTAGATCATGATAAGATTTCAGGGTGTTCGTATTAAATACATGTGAAAATTATCTATTCGTGATGACAATCGCGTGCTCGATCATTCTAGAGTAAAATGCGCATTTCATATTATTGTTTTTACAGTAGAACTAGCCCAAGCTGTTGTTTAAATTTATGAGAAATATATTATTTTATTTTTATATATATATTATTATATTAATGAAATACAGTTGGATGAGATATGGAAATATTTTCCAATCTTTGATATTCAAGAATAACATCAGGGTCTTGATGAATGCTGATCAATCAAGATGAGATATTTGAATATTGTTCCAGTTTGACATCTACTAAGAGCAACATAAGCTTATCCAGATGAAAAAATATTTCCATCTAATGCAAGACATACTTTTGGTAAAGTAAGACCTTGTGTTTTGTGTACAGTGTTGACCATGATTTCCTTTACTAAACATGAATAACTAATAACTAATAACAGGGAAACTATTGTCTAAAAGATCACAAAGCAATTAGATGAATATGTTAAAGTTGAAAGATTTATACTATAGGGGAAGTATAAAAAGTAAAGGATTTGATGTTGCAGGTTTGTTCGAAAGAGGCTAAAGGTGTGAGGATTTAAAGGGATATGAGGGTTTTTATACTAAGTTAACAGCTATTCACAAAGAATATTATCAGTTTTACACAGAAACTATAGTAATTCACACAGAATTAGTATAATTAATTCAGATCACAAAGCAAGGTTAATTATAAACAGAATAATACTGAGATCACGAAGCAGGATATTATTATCAAGAAAGTATTTCACTAAAAATTGAAAGGTTTCAAATTATTACTTGTTACAAAAAATTTTTATTAATAATTTATTACATATATTGAGGTCAGAATATAATCAAGTTCTAACTGTTCTAACTCTATAGGCAAAAGCTAAATCTATTTATACAAAATTACCATCCTGTCACAAGACTATAATTACTAATCTCAAGAAAGCTCCAGAAATTTTCATTACATTCTGGAATATTCTATGTGCTATTTTTAGCTAATGAGTTATTTGTGCTAGAGGTATTTACCAGAAGTGCCGACTAGAGGTTTAACCAGAGATATCAACTAGAGATGCCAACCTCACATTATAAACAAAAATGATTTACATCTGTTACTCGTAAATAATAGTACTAATATAAATGTTATACAAATAAATACTAGTCAAATTGTGAAAAATCAGTACCTATTGTATACCTATCAGATATCCAATAGATATGCAATAAATGCTTGATTTTTAATAAATTTTAATATATTGAACTCCCAATAGGTAGGGTGAGCATGCCAAAGTTCAAATATATATTGGCAGATATCGGATACATATTGGATTCTGATTTTTTGACATTTTTTTCAAATATATCATATACTTATTAGGTACCTAATTTCATTTATTTTTTATCGGGCACATATCTTCAATATATCAGTATAGTATATTGGATATATATTGGTCACTGTATATTCCTTAATATCAGATGTTTTTTTCTTATTATCAGATACCTATCAGTGACTTTTATTTATATATTTTTATTTTTCTTATCATCAATAATTGCATTTTTGTTTATTATTATAAAATATAAATAAAATATATTATTTTTTTTAAATTTTTTCTTTTTTCTTTTTTTTTCTTTTTTTTTCTTCTCCTTTTTCTTTTCTTTTTCTACTACTAGTTCCTGCTTTATTATTATTATTATTATCATCATTATTATCATCATCATTATTGTTATCATCATCTTGATCTGAGATATTGGGATCATAAATTGAGATGATCTTCTTATTCCATTTTATTATTTTCAATATTTCTTTATTTAGAGTCCAAATAGGTACACTTTTTAAAACTTTTGTTTTATTTTTGTTCAGTATATATTGTGGAGATCTAATTTGAAACTTGAAATTTTTTAATGGTTTACGCAAAAGATCAATTGTTAGATTGATTCTTTTGTGCAATAGTTTCTTTAACTATAAAATATTATTTGATATCATCTATTAATATTATGTCCAATAGGTGTAAAAATATACTATAATTATTGATCTTATCAAATCAAATCTTTATCATTTGTCCTTAATATAAATAGAAATTGTAGGTGTTTGAATACTTCCGCTTCTACTTGTTATAGTACTACTTCTACTTCTAATATTATTATTACTGTTATCATTATCATTATCATCATTATTGTTATTATAATCATTATTATTATTATCATTATTACTATTATTATCATCATCATTGTTATTATGATAATTATTATTATTATTATTATTATTATCATTATTCTCATCATCATCATTATTATTATGATTATTATCATCATCATTGTTGTCATTATAATTATTATTACAATTGTCATTATTACGATTATTATAACCACTGTAATTATTATTATTGTTATTATCAACATCTATGATGTCTTGTTTTATAAATTTAATAAATTAATTTAATTATAAATAAAGTATAATAAATATAATTTATAAATATAATATCTTCATATTTATATTTGTTATCTGTTATTTCCCACTTCTCCAAGTGATAACTGCTATCACCTAATATTTTTAATATATCCTTTTTAAGATGCATATTTAATTTTTCGTTATCTTCTTTTAATAGTTATACTGCTGTTTTCTTCCTTCTTTCCTTTTTCTATTTAAAATAAATTATATCAATAATATACCTGATAACTGTATTATTACATTTATTATAAAAAAAATTCTACCTTTACTATTTTAATATTCTTCTTTATTCTTCTTTTATTTATTTTTTTATTTCCAGTTACTTTCACCCTCCATTACTGATGCATCATATAATACTGTATATAGAGTATTTTTTTAATCCCATAATTAGATATAGTATATTTGCTATTTAATATTTTACTTAATTTGGATGAGTTTTTTAATTAAATAATTATGTTCTTTCCATTTACATTCTAGTTTAAATAGATATTTATTTTGATATTTAGATTTATATAGAAAAAATAATTTTTTTTATAATTATACAAATTGATATTAGTTATTCTACCCAATATATATATAATATAAATATTTGATATGTATAATATAAAAAATCAAAAAAAAAATAAATAAATTTACTCTAATTCTCTTTTTAGATTTAGAATTCAGATATTTTATCATTTTCACTTTTTTTT